AGTTCCTACAGTAATGCCAGAAGTAAAGATTCTCATGGCTATCTTTGTTAGAAATGAAGTTATAAATTCTGGCCTATAAATTTTGTCATCAATATTAGCTAAGGAAAAAATGGTGTGTGCTTTTAATTGTTTATGTTCAAGTAAGGATCATTTGTTAGATCCTGAGTGTGTGTCAGAGGAGCATTCATGGTAAACAGCATGAATTAATGAATGAAATAAAAGAAGCACAGTATACTGTGTGCCTGTGAAACTTAGAGAAAGGATGTAATGAATCAATGAAAGTGGCTTGATCTTGTCAAAATTGGAGCTGATTAAATCATGCAGGCAAGGGAATGGATAGGCTTAATTATGAATGAAAAGCCTAAAATGTTTGTCAGAAAGTATTAATTCATGTAATCTAGATTGTTGAGGGTGCTTATGAAAGTAGGAATCCATAGGCTGGTGACAGTTGCATGTTACACTTCAGTAAATAGTGATGATGTGCAACGTTTTAAATGAATGCAATATGGAGATAAATTATTTGTAGGTTGGAATAAGATGAGAAAGTACAATAAAAGTGAATGGACCATTTGGAGTTCCAAGAATGAATGGCAATAGTGACTGGTGAATTTCTGCTCAGAAAAAGGTATGTTTGTTTCATATACGTGGTGAAAGTTTAAGTATTGTATGCACGCATAGCACAGCAATGAATATAAATCTCAAAGTGTAATTGATTTGTTTTTGATGAAAGACTGAGAAAATTAATTAAGGATAAAAGGATAATGAGAAGTTCTGCATATGCAACAGATTATTTTTGGTGATATCAAGTGGAACTTGGAAAAAAGTGGACATGGAAGAAAAGGAAAAAAGTGAAAGAAAGATTAAAAGTAGAATAATTGCAGGAAAAGAAGCCATATGTCCTGCATGAAGAAGCATTAGAAGACAGATTAAACTCCCAAAAGGATTTATGGACAGTAGAAATAAGACAAGAAGATATAGAATCTGCTTATTGGGGGAAAAATATTTTGAAGTAAAGAGTGCCATGTAAGGAGCTCCAGCAGTGTGAGCAGAATACAAAACAAGGACTAAGAAATTATTTGGGATGAAACTGAAGTGAAAGAATAGCAGAAAGACTATCTTAGAGATTTGTCTGGGAATGATACCAATACAGGTAGTTCTCATTTATCAAGGACATTTAGGGACCATCAACTTGGTCATTATGTGAAGCAATTGCTAAATGAAACATCACAATTTTACAATTTTACTTCAGCTTTCCTTTCCTTTACAGAACTGCGAAGGTTGTAAATGTGAGGACTGGTTGCAAAGTTACTTTTTCACCACTGTCCTAACTACAAATGGTCGGTAAACAAGTCATTTGCTAAACGAGGACTACCTTATGTCAAATTGAAATGACAGCTATAAATGTTAATGTCCCCCCCCCAAAAAAAAAACTGATAAAAAGAAGCCATAAAGGCTGTGAGAATATTAAAAAAATAGTAAGGCTGCAGGTGTAGATGGGAGAAGACCAGTAAACCTCTGCCTCAAAATAGTCCAGCTGATAATCAGTGGGGCAGAGGATGAGCCCAGGATGAATGGGTTGTGAGTGTTGGTGTATCATGTGAGCTTTCTCTTCTTTCACCCTGCAACCTTCCTCCATCACACCAATCTGTTTTTGACGTGAGTCATTCTTCCAGAAAGCCAGTAAACCCACATTCAAAAAGAGCCCAAGTGATTAAGTAATCAATATGGAGCATCTCCATATCATCTATTTGTCATTTGAGTAATTTGAAAGATGGCCAAAGCCTCTGTCCCATATATCTGCTCAAACAAAGGTTACTTCATCAGTCTGAGAGTGATTGGGGGTGATTTTTCCTGCTGGCTAGTAACACTAGGTGGGATGGAAATGAAGCCAAAGGAATCCATCAGTTGCTGAATTGTTCCTAAGTCTCTAATTAAAACTTAGCCAAAAGGTGGAGAAATGATTGGCTAAGTTTAACTTAGAGGCTAAATTTTAATTAGAAGCTTAAGAGGAATTCAGCCTTGCTCTTTTGTGTTCCTGGAGGCTTGGTCCACAGCTACCTTCCTCACCTCCACGTTCTAATTAAAAGTTGAAAATGTGCAAAAAGCAAGATTTATCTGAGTAACCATTGAATTACAGAATAATTTTACTGAGTAACAAGGAGCAGTTAGACTGCACAATCAGGATTTTATACTTTACTTTCTGGAGTGTGGTCTGTTTTATGGTTGGTGATATCTCTAATTGTCTTTAATAACTTTCTTATTTGGATGTTATTTGCAAAGCAAACTTTGTTCTTGTATTTTTGTTCCATTCTTTGAGCCACAGATCCCACCACTGTGGAGACTGATATTTAAGCCACAATTTGTGATCTTTCATCCACCTGTATGTGGTTGTACATTTATCTCTCTAAAGTTAAACCGAATTTTACATTTTCCTTTTTCTTATTTTTAATAAAATTGATTTTTAAACTTTTTTTTTTTTTTGCAACTTCAAA